TATTAAAGGTTTCTTAATTCTCCTTTAAAAATTAAATAGCGACTCTTTATTGATTAAAACAAGTTAGCACAACATTTTTGTGTGAAAAGGGCTTAGACTCAAAAAAGGCATGGCGCCACACATAGCCTTAAAGTGAAGGATGAGGTTTAAATGAGGAAAGGCTTATGGTGGATACCTAGGCACCCAGAGATGATGAAGGGTGCGTAAGCAATGAAATGCTTTGGGGAGTCTGAATACCTCATTCAAGAATTGTTTTTTGATCCAATCCGTAGGAATCAATAGAAAAGGCAAAATCCCTTATGATATTAAAAAAAAAAAATTTACTATGCAAAAGTAGTTTAATTAATAAAAATAAAAAAATAAATTTATACCATTAACTTTTATAAGCCCTATTATTATTAGATGATATGGTAGAAATACCAACTCCCCACATGGGCCATCAGCAATTTTCTTTTGTCATCCAAAATTCTAGTTGATGCATAAGGGAAAAAAAATGGAATTCTTGCATTTTGTGTAGGGAAATTCTATTTACATATCATAAATTGTCTCTATACATGCCATTACTTAGTTCACATATATGATATTTTCTACTTTGATTTATATTCAAAACACACTCTAATCTTTCCTTTTTTACCTCAACACATTAAAAAAAAAGAAGAGATATAAGTACACACCACCATACACAAAACACACGTCTAGAATAAAGAGCTACATTGACAACAACTGATAACACCAATACATTGTTGAAGACATTGAAGAAATAACCCTTGTCGGCAGCATTGTAATAGTACAATTAACTTCACAAAGATCGACATAGCACTGAAGAAACTACTGGGCGAAGATTTTTGATTCTCATCTCCGAAAATCTATGATTCTCACATCTAAATCTCGCTTAGTTTATTTTTTCGGTTAGTGATTCTTACATCCCATAGCAGTTTCGATTTTGAATTCAGTTCAACACTAGTTGTCTAAAACATAATATAATTGTACGACCAGTAAAATTGAACAAATTAATACGTCCAACTATTTTATGTTGAACAAAATTAGTAAGTCTAGAATTTTTATGTTGAAAAAATCCAACTTGTTCAGATTCATTATGTTCAGCTTTTTATGTACGAACAATTTACAGTTGTTTATAGCAATCCCGGTTTTCCCTCTGTTGTTTATTGTGTTCCGGACTTAGGTTCCGTGGTGTTGGTTTTGTTTATATCTTGTTTCCGTTCTTTAATCCTTGTATTCGAATTTTGGGATGTAATGGGCAGGTTTGTTACAGCTTGGTAGTGAGTTTAAACCAATAGTTGCTGCCAGATTTTGGTGTCTTCGCTCGAGCGAGGCTTTTGTAAAATAAATTTCTAAAAATCAAACCAAACATATTCTAAGAATTTTTTGACAAACTATTTCTTGTATTTTTAACTTATTTAATTATTTGTTAATTTTATGATATTTTCACTATCTGACACTACGGCATATAAGAGTTTTAGAAATCAATTTTTTTGATCTCTAAAGTAAAAATTTTGTTATGAAAGACATTTAGGGACTAATTTCTATCGTCGTAAGGATAATCACTAAAAAGTCATCCTAAAAATTCAAAAATAAGGTTTTTAGCGATAACATTGCGAAAATGTCAACAATTAATAGACTTTTAGAGACAAAATAATTTGGTCTCAAAATAGTTTTTTTTTAGACAAAAAATTTGATATTAAAAAAATAACAATTAATTACTAATATTTAATTTTCGTTGCTAAAAATGTAATGACGACGCTTTTCGCAGCAAAAATAGTTGGTTCCCTAAAAATAATTGTCTCTAAATTTTGGTCTCTAAAACTTTAATTTTTTGTAGTGTGATAAGTGTTTTTCTATTTTAATTTTGTATTTCATAACTTATTTAAAAATAATAATTTAGCTAAATCTTAGGAGAATTTGTAATTTAGCTAAATCTCAAAAGGGTGTAGGTAATTTACCCTTATTTGTCAAAAGGGTATTTTAGTCAATTTATGATATCCATTAACGGCGTTAATTGTGATGGGACGAGATATAATTTTTAAAATCTTAGGAAAAAATTTGTAATTTTGATAAACCTCAAGGGAGGTGTAGGTATTTTTCCAAAAAAAAAAAAAAAAATTCAGATTTAAACATGAAGTCCCCGACTAAAATATGAAGGTGCATTTAGAGCCTCCGAAAAGCAAATTGTAATTTACCCAAGTTTTGGTGGAATTTATCCGAACCGTCCATTTCGTTGAACATATCATCTATGCAATAAAATTAAATTGCTCGTACATGAACAATTATAAGATTAAATCACATTTATTTTTTAAAAATTTAACAAAAAAATAATTTAAAAAATAGACATAATTTACAATTAATCTAATATTGTAGCTATCATTCACGGATCAAACTTTTTTTTTTTTTGGAATAAATTAATGGAGTAAATCTCCTTAAATTATAACTCATTTGCAATTTGTCTCATAAACTTCAAAACTCAACAGTTTACCATTTAAAAATATTACCTTGTTATAGTTAATCTCTTCTATTAAAATTTTGATAAGAGTTTACACAAAATCATATCATATTTAAAGCATGCGACATATTTATTGAATTTTTAAGAAAATAATGCCCTTATATAGTGATCTCAATTGTACTTTGCTACCAAATTAAAAGAGACAAAGTGTAAAAAAAATCACTAAATAAAGGTATTATTATCTTAAAATATCAATAATGAGTACGATTGTCCTAAAAAATTAACAAAGTGCTTCATATATATCACACATCACACGTGATTTGATTCTATTTAAATCCTAGAATAAAATCCTAACAAAAAAGTGTAAAGTATAACAAGATAAGCGCCTCCCTTGAGGTTTAGCTAAATTACAGATTTTCCTTAGAATTTCAGAAATTACATCCCGCTCCCCAAGGTTTATATTAGCATAGCAATTTATTCCCTACCGTTAACTAAACGTGAAGAATGGTTAGCTGACATTACCAAAATATAAATTGATGGACAATATTGTCGCTGTTGAAATCCCTTTGATAAATCAACAAAATTTACAAAAGAATTACTTTAGATGAAAAAAAAAAAAAATAAGTTTTTGGAACCATATTTGATTTGTTGTTTAGAAAAAAATTTCAGAATTAAAAAAGTAAAAATAAAAACTAATTTAATAAAAATAAATATGAAAAAATATATTTAATTTGTAAAAATTATTTCTAACCACTCAAAAGATAAAATTATATAAAAATAAAAATAATTTTTTTATTTTTTATTTATTAACCAAATTAATTTTTAATTTTTTTTAAAAAAATTTAAAAATAAATTTCTAAAAATCAAACCAAACATATTCTAAGAATTTTTTGACAAACTATTTCTTGTATTTTTAACTTATTTAATTATTTGTTAATTTTATGATATTTTCACTATCTGACACTACGGCATATAAGAGTTTTAGAAATCAATTTTTTTGATCTCTAAAGTAAAAATTTTGTTATGAAAGACATTTAGGGACTAATTTCTATCGTCGTAAGGATAATCACTAAAAAGTCATCCTAAAAATTCAAAAATAAGGTTTTTAGCGATAACATTGCGAAAATGTCAACAATTAATAGACTTTTAGAGACAAAATAATTTGGTCTCAAAATAGTTTTTTTTTAGACAAAAAATTTGATATTAAAAAAATAACAATTAATTACTAATATTTAATTTTCGTTGCTAAAAATGTAATGACGACGCTTTTCGCAGCAAAAATAGTTGGTTCCCTAAAAATAATTGTCTCTAAATTTTGGTCTCTAAAACTTTAATTTTTTGTAGTGTGATAAGTGTTTTTCTATTTTAATTTTGTATTTCATAACTTATTTAAAAATAATAATTTAGCTAAATCTTAGGAGAATTTGTAATTTAGCTAAATCTCAAAAGGGTGTAGGTAATTTACCCTTATTTGTCAAAAGGGCATTTTAGTCAATTTATGATATCCATTAACGGCGTTAATTGTGATGGGACGAGATATAATTTTTAAAATCTTAGGAAAAAATTTGTAATTTTGATAAACCTCAAGGGAGGTGTAGGTATTTTTCCAAAAAAAAAAAAAAAAATTCAGATTTAAACATGAAGTCCCCGACTAAAATATGAAGGTGCATTTAGAGCCTCCGAAAAGCAAATTGTAATTTACCCAAGTTTTGGTGGAATTTATCCGAACCGTCCATTTCGTTGAACATATCATCTATGCAATAAAATTAAATTGCTCGTACATGAACAATTATAAGATTAAATCACATTTATTTTTTAAAAATTTAACAAAAAAATAATTTAAAAAATAGACATAATTTACAATTAATCTAATATTGTAGCTATCATTCACGGATCAAACTTTTTTTTTTTTTGGAATAAATTAATGGAGTAAATCTCCTTAAATTATAACTCATTTGCAATTTGTCTCATAAACTTCAAAACTCAACAGTTTACCATTTAAAAATATTACCTTGTTATAGTTAATCTCTTCTATTAAAATTTTGATAAGAGTTTACACAAAATCATATCATATTTAAAGCATGCGACATATTTATTGAATTTTTAAGAAAATAATGCCCTTATATAGTGATCTCAATTGTACTTTGCTACCAAATTAAAAGAGACAAAGTGTAAAAAAGATCACTAAATAAAGGTATTATTATCTTAAAATATCAATAACGAGTACTATTGTCCTAAAAAATTAATAAGTGCTTCATATATATCACACATGATCTGATTCTATTTAAATCCAAAATAAAATCCTTACAAAAAAGTGTAAAGTATAACAAGTTAAGCGAGTAATAATTTAAGCAAGTTTACTGTAATTTAACCTTTTTTTCTGTGAATAACTTACTCCACTCAATACTGTTATGTGTTTCGAGCTGAAAACTGTTTTATTGGGTTTGCCATTTGATCGATGAACCAACCAACCAACCAACAATACACAGAGAGAGAGAGAGAACACAACAGGGTTTTTCAGTTCTAAACAGTGGAAACATTATGCATAGAAAGGTTCATACCTGATACAACATTTGGGATCTCATAACTATATAATACACATAATATAAGAACAAAATGAATACCAACATCTACAAAACAACAAACACCACAGGACAGGGCTGCACAAAATCAATCCAGAATTTTATAAATCTCAACACTAAATTGGGCTTCACACAATCAAAGTTGACTAATCACTCAAAGCAATAGAATATCTTTAGTTGCCCTTCTTATTTATGGTTCTTCTTTGAAGAGTATCATCAACCAATGGACGGCCACAACAATGGATTTGCATACCTCAAGAAGAAGCAGCAGTGGTGGTAGTGGTCGGGTTGAAAGCTTTCTGCTCTCCACAAGACAGTACGTCATGTGGGCCTGCCTCCTCTCGGCCAACTCCCATCAAGTCGAGGTAATAAAGGTAATGAGAGATGATGTCGTTCATGGAATCAATGTCACCTTGGCCACAAACACTATCTCCGTAAAGGACATTCATGGTGGTGCCGAAACCAGGAATCCGCTTCTCCATGGTATCGTTCTTGGAGGGCTTCCAGTTTCCAACAAAAATATCATGGGCGGAAGGCTGTGCCTTCTTGATTGCTGTCATCCACCTCCATATTGCAGCCTGGAAAGCAAGGGTTGCATTCTGCTCAATGTATTCAGGATGGTTCAACAGATCAACATTTAGGGCTTCCCCAGTAGCTCCATAGTTGTTGTTCCTGGGCGAATGAAAAATAAATAAATAAACAACAACAACAACAACAACAACAACAACGAGCCCTGAAATTCTGCCTAAAAAACAGTAAAATAAAATAAGTTTTTTCTAGAAGTGAAAAGGGGAAAAAATTGAAATTACAAAGACAACTGTTGAGCATCCAAACTTAAATCTATTTGTGTTGTTACAAACCATTTACCCTTGATGTTGCTTCAAGACACAACCTCAACCAAAAGCATACTCAAACACGAAAATGGAATGACACACAAAAAGAAAAACAACAAAAACAAACAAAAATTAAGAAGGTAGAATATAGACAAGAAGATAATACCAGTAAATAGGAATAGCACCACGACCATAGTATTCAGCACCAGGAGTGCAAGGATAGGTGAATTTGTAGAAGTCGTCACAGTATGATTGGCTAGGACTAAGTTCTTTGTTATAGCAAAGACCCCACGCCATCGGTCCTCCGGTGGCCACTCCATAACCACCTGCATCAATTACGATAACCATTATCATTTTTCATTACTAGATTCACTACGGTTATTAAATGCAACTTAAGTAATCAAATTCATTGAAAACCAAACTAGGACCAATTAAAAATCCTCAAAAGTTCTTCTTACATGAATTTAATATCAATATAACATTTGAAGAAAAGATAAAATTGGAAATCATTTCAAAATTGTAGAAAACAAGGAGTCTTAGCTCCATCTATAACCAAATCAATTAAGGAAACAACTTGATAAATCAACTCAATTCAACAATATATAAATCAGAATTTTACTGATCCATTTTTGAATCAGTTGAAATCATATCTTCTGATATGGAGTTAAAAACAAAATACTTTGATGAATAGATAATCCCCAAATTCATTTTAGACGCATTCAATGAAATCCCCAAACAAAAAAAAAAAAAATAGCCCTTAGCTTCATCTAAAACCAATTCAATTAGGCGTTGGTTATGCATTATAAAGTCCTTGAATACATCACTATGAAGTCCTCAATTCAATCCAACACCCTGAAAATTTCCCCAAACCCATTTTATTATCAATCAAATACGATTAAAAATATTCCATCAATTTCTTCTAAGCACCTAACACTCAGTTTCGTTGGTAAGAAAAAAGGACCAAAAGAATTAACATAAACATCTCCAATCCTTCACCAATTCCTTCATCAAATTCAAATTCGATTAATAAAGACCTAAAACTGAGCTCCAATCATTTGATCAAACTAGTATCTAAGAAAGAGAGCCAAATTTTTCACCAAATCACAGACCAAATTTGATGAAATTTTAAAAAGGGAAAAAATTGGAGATGGTTTTCTTTCATTGTTTTTAAACCAAGTTTGGAATTTTTCAACAAAAAATGATGGGGAAAAAAAAAAAGAAGTAAAAATGGGAGAAGCTCAATCAATCAAACCAAATGGAATTCAAACAATCAACAAAACAACAAAAATTAATAAAAACACAATTCAAAATTGAGCATTGCTATTCATGCCCAAAAATTAGACCCAGTGATGTGTGAGGAATCGGTTTAGATATTGGACTTATATATCATTTTTCTTCAAAATTTTCATTTCACTAACTAGTCCAAATAAATATATTCTCCAGCAATTTCCCAAGAACCAAACAGAAAACATTAAACTGAGAAAAAAAGACTTACAAGAAGTTTTGCTACCGACATGGCCGAGGAAGGCGGCAACCTCCAACATCCCCATTTGCTTACCGCCGGTGGTGCCAAAGCCAAGGGGCTGGTACACGGCGGCGGCGGTGATGAAAGACTTGTAATCCCAGAATCCCACGGCGTGTGCCACAGGCGCGTTCCTCTTGGAGAAGAGATTCTCAAACTGGTATGTCTGGAAGAAGTTAGAGATTGTCTGATTGCAACAGTATTTTGACCATCCTTGGCACTCCCAACCCTGAGAACAAACCTTCTTCCCCTTCACAGTCTTGGTCAGTATCGGTACCGATGAATCTCCATCCGCAATACACTCAATCGCCATTGCCAATACCAACGTCATTGCCAAAACCCACCATTTGGAATCCATTTTTCTCTGCAAAAACAATGAAATTGGACCCAATATCAAGATCTACACAGCCACAACAAGAATGGAGATCTGGGTATGATTTTAAAGAGAAAGAAAGTGAAACTAAAACTTACTTGATACTAAAAGAAGTCAACTTTATTGCTTATTTTGAGATCTGGGTTTGGAAATTTATTTTGTTCTTTGGGTAGAAGGAAAGAGAGGAAGAGAGAGATGAGGCAAAAGAATGGAAAGGAAGAGGGAAGAAACGGAGTGTTAGATGGAGTTTCTCTCTCAGGAGTGGTTAACTAGCGATCTAGTTGAGGGAAATGAACGGTGGATGTGGGGTTTGGGTGGGTGGAAAGTGATCGAGATTTAAGGGATAACAGGCTGGATGGGAAAGGAGGGAAGTGAGGGATGGAATCAAGCAACCACTGAGCTTGAAAGGGCTCGCTGACCCACCACCTAATTCCTCTGTCCACCGACACATACTGCATCCAATTTTTGGGATGTAAAACGTACGTGGAGGTAAAATCAGAGTCCTATTTCATTCGAGGGTGTAATTGGGGCTTGAATTTTTTTTTTTTATTTTTTTAGGATTTGAATAACCCTATGTTGGGGGAAGTTGGGTTTGAGAATTTTTTGGTTAAAATAATTACAAAAAATAAAATAGATTTTTTAATTTAATAAGACAAAACATTACATTCAACTAATAATCATTACATTTTCTCTCACAAAAAAATTAAAAAAGTCAAAAGTCTTTCTCAAGTTAGACTTTTTAGTCCTAGATTAAAATAGTTCAAAAAGTTAAAAAACCAAAAAACTAACCCACTTCGCAAATGAAGCCTAAGTTATTTTTGAATTCAATAGTAGTTTGAATAAAAATTTAAAAAGTGGAATTAAATTTGAGGGACGTTGAGCAAAGATATCAAATAATACATGTGATTTAAAATTCGAATTATACATATATAAATATATAAAAATATTAAATATTGTTGACTTATTTTTCCTACAAAGGAAAATATCATAAATGCGAGCGTGCCAGCAAGGATTGAAATATACATATAAATTATTAGCCATTGTATGATATTAAAGTAATTTATATTATTATATCATACAAGTAGCACAAAATCTTACTTTTTTATTGTCACTCATAAATTGTAAAGACTACCATTATGGTATCTCTCTTACATAAATTTTTTTTTTTTTTGATGTTTGTAACACCCCAACTCTTATTATCCAAATAACATTATCAAATACCTCATTAAAGTCTATTTCTTTTACATACATGCAGAAGCATCATAAATAATAATTTAACAATAATATTCCCTCTCGTATGGATAATAATGAAATGTTATTACAATCATTTACATTACCCTCATATTTACATTAAGGCCTCGTTTGACAAGAGGCTATTTTAGCCAATTAGCCAAAAAGTTACTAAATTAGCCAAAAAGCCAACAACCCATACCAAAAAGTCAAAGATTCTATTTTCTCTCTACTTTTTGCACATCTTTTCGTAATTAGCCAAAAAGTCATTCCAAACATACAAGTTTTTTTTACCTACCTTTTTAGCCAAATAGCCAAAAAGTTACTAAATTAGCCTGTTCCCAAACGAGGCCTTAAGAAGCTAAAAAAAATGGATTAACCCTGGATACACAACATTGGTATTCCATCAAACACATAATATCCCCGATGCTTATAGATAATGATGACTTCAAATCCAGAATAACTCCTCAAGCTGTGTACCTGAAAAATTATCGACAACGTAGGATGAACACAAAAGTCTAGTAAATATCCCAATGCCTCTAAACTATAACAGCATACAGATAATTATGGTCATGAACGCTCCACATTGTAGGATATAGATAATGTGACTTTTCATATTCAAAGTATTCATATTATAGTATATCTTTTCCTAAAAGTCTCTCTTTATTAATTCAAGAAAACTCATTTGTTTTTTATTTTTGCAATTCACCGTTTTCAACTAAAAAATGCTTTCAAACTTAAATTACATCTCATAACACATTATCAACTATCTCATTGCACATATTCACCAACAAATGTCTATATGGACACACACACACACAAGAGTAAAGTCTCAAAATCATCTTTCGTTACTCATGAAACTAATCAAGTCCTTATCCACCCATTCATTCTTAGTGATTAAGAAATTTACCACATTGGATATATGAAAACCAGTCCACAACATTCCCAAAGACTTTTACCATGTTTATGGCCTGAAGCACAAGGGCTAGAGAGGTACCCATCATAACATACATGAAAACAACTAAACAACACTTAACACATAAGACAACCTGGCTTTGTCAAGCTATAACCACCACAACACACTTTATCGGCATGAATTTGTAAGGGAGCATAACCTATTTCAAAGTACCACACTTCACCGGTCCTCAACCGGAAGGGAGCGAAACCTCAACACACTTCTTCAGGGTGTAAATTCGGAAAGGAGAGGAACCTTTGCCAATGGGGCATCTCTGCCGAAGGAAACAAATCCTCAATATAGCACAACCACCTCCCAACTCATCACAAAACATATCATTATAGATTACACAATCTAACACACGACATTTAATACATATAATCTCTTTAGCAACAATAATAACATTCTCCATCGACGGCCAATAACAAAACCTCTAGAGACTCTATTCTTATAAAGCAATACTGTCATGACCCGAATCCACCCCTAGAGGTTTAGATCATGACCGGCTAGTAATCATGAGATTACCTACGACCTCAGACATAATTTCTAAATATAAATGAATATACGCGGTCTAAAGTGGAAGCAAAATATAAAATTTGTCCATTGAGTTATGCATAAATGACATGAATAGAAATATACACAACACATTTCATAACATACATATAATAATTACAAACATTTATCTTATATACATAACCCAAGATCACAAATATAACTTAACAAATCTTAGCGAAATTAATCTCAACAAAGCTTGACTAAAAGTAACAATAAAAGCCTCAACACAGAGGCATATCTTGAGTGGCCTGACAAAAGGAGTTGACTCCAAAGCAATCTCTAATGTTGAACTTCCTCATGCTCACCTACACACACACACACACACACACACACACTCATATAAAAGGAGTGAGCTGGAACTCCAATGAGTAATCTCAGTGTAAAGAGGTTAAATGAATGAGTTCCATATCTTATAAACACAATATAAAGTCCTTGACAAAATCAAAGCGTTATCAAACATTTTTCAGATATATAGAGAATTCATAAAATTCATCAAACCTTTATTAGTTAACCTCATGACGAGGTACTTCCAAACACATTATTAAACCTTTGATAGAATGATCTTAATGAATCGAAACCATACAAAACATTCACAATGGAATAAGAGTATATAGAACGTCCTCATTGGCTAAGCTTATTCAGAACGTCCCCATTGGCCGAACTTATGCAGAACATTCACGTTAGAACGGCTCATACAAAATGTCTATCACGTGTAGATATCATACAGAATGTCTATAACGGGTCGATAACATATAGAACGTCCATGAAGGTACGGAGCCATACAGAATGATTATACACAATCGGAGCCATGCAGAATGATCTTCAGGGTCGACATCATACAAAACATTTACAATGAATGAACAACTTATATAGAACGTCCGTGACGCGTTGAAGACAAAATGGAAGTCTCCAGAAGTCAAAGTACGTTTTCAAAAGCATTATCACATTAGTTGATCGAAGGAAACTCATTCAGCATGCTTGGTTGGAGTTTTTTAAACACTCTTTTCAAAAAATTCTACTTTCTTATTTTTCGTATTTTTTTGTTTTTGCTGAATTTTTTAATAGTTTAAGCAATTTTTTTTTTTACTTTTTAGACATACCTAACATAAATATACCTAAAAAGTAAAAAATTTGTGAAAGAAACCTTTTAAAAATTCACTAAATACCAAAAATATAAAAAAAAATACGAGAATTTCGTACATATTTTGTATTTTTATGTATTTATTAATTTTTTAAAATATTTTTTCACAAATTTTTTACTTTTTAGATACATCTAAGTAAGGTGCATCTAAAAAAGTAAAAAAAAATGTCTAAAATTTTAAAAATATTAACTAAAAACAAAAAAAAATACGAAAATAAAAAAACTCAATTTTCAAAAAACTTAATTTGCCATGTGTCCTTCCACTCATCCACTTTGTCCTCCCACTCATCCACTTTGTCCTTCATATTCTCCATTATCTCTATAACTTCTTTTAACTTCCAAATGAATAAGAGGATGCCACGTGTCCTGCAATTATATAAATAATAAATAATAATAATAATTGCAGATTTATGGTGTTAACAAATATACATATAAATTATTAGCCATTGTATGATATTAAAGTAATTTATATTATTATATCATACAAGTAGCACAAAATCTTACCTTTTTTATTGTCACTCATAAATTATAAAGACTACCATTATGGTATCTCTCTTACATAAATTTTTTTTTTTTTTGATGTTTGTAACACCCCAACTCTTATTATCCAAATAACATTATCAAATACCTCATTAAAGTCTATTTCTTTTACATACATCCAGAAGCATCATAAATAATAATTTAACAATAATATTCCCTCTCGTATGGATAATAATGAAATGTTATTACAATCATTTACAGTACCCTCATATTTACATTAAGAAGCTAAAAAAAATGGATTAACCCTGTATACACAACATTGGTATTCCATCAAACACATAATATCCCCAATGCTTATAGATAATGATGACTTCAAATCTAGAATAACTCCTCAAGCTGTGTACCTGGAATATTATCGACAACGTAGGATGAACACAAAAGTCTAGTAAATATCCCAATGCCTCTAAACAATAACAGCATACAGATAGTTATGATCATGAACGCTCCACATTGTAGGAAATAGATAATGTGACTTTTCATATTCAAAGTATTCATATTATAGTATATCTTTTCCTAAAAGTCCCTCTTTATTAATTCAAGAAAACTCAATTGTTTTTTATTTTTGCAATTCACCGTTTTCAACTAAAAAATGCTTTCAAACTTAAATTACATCTCATAACACATTATCAACTATCTCATTGCACATATTCACCAACAAATGTCTATATGGACACACACACACACAAGAGTAAAGTCTCAAAATCATCTTTCGTTACTCATGAAACTAATCAAGTCCTTATCCACCCATTCATTCTTAGTGATTAAGAAATTTACCACATTGGATATATGAAAACCAGTCCACAACATTCCCAAAGACTTTTACCATGTTTATGGCCTGAAGCAC